GTAACAGAGGACTGACTTACAATTGGGTCTGATATTTAATTTGTGTTCTAGGAGCAGCAGCTACACAGAAGAGATGGGAGAAGAGGCTAATGATGACAAGAAGCCAACCACTAAATTTGAACTAGAGCGAGAAACAGAACTTCGCTTTGAGGTGGAGGCATCTCAGTCAGTTCAGTTGGAGTTGTTGACTGGCATGGCAGAGATCTTTGGCACAGAGCTGACCCGAAACAAGAAATTCACCTTTGATGCTGGTGCCAAGGTGGCTGTTTTCACTTGGCATGGCTGTTCTGTGCAACTGAGCGGCCGCACTGAGGTGGCTTATGTCTCCAAGGACACTCCTATGTTGCTTTACCTCAACACTCACACAGCCTTGGAACAGATGCGGAGGCAAGCGGAAAAGGAAGAAGAGCGAGGTCCCCGTGTGATGGTAGTGGGCCCCACTGATGTGGGCAAGTCTACAGTGTGTCGCCTTCTGCTCAACTATGCAGTGCGTTTGGGCCGCCGTCCCACTTATGTGGAGCTGGATGTGGGCCAGGGTTCTGTGTCCATCCCTGGTACCATGGGGGCCCTCTACATTGAGCGGCCTGCAGACGTGGAAGAGGGTTTCTCTATCCAGGCCCCTCTGGTGTATCATTTTGGTTCCACCACTCCTGGCACCAACATCAAGCTTTATAATAAGGTCAGAGCCAGAGAAAGGTGAAGTGGAGGGAAGGGTTGCTATCAGGGTAGGAAACTGGGGAAGTTTACTAGTTTACACTGCATTTTCTCAGCTGGTATTTCTGCTGCATTACTTCAGAAAAGGCAGTTCCAAATATAAGTCAGTCTCAGATTGTTAAACATTTCTGTGGATCTATTCTTAGTAATTTGTTAGATTTTTACTTACGGCATAATACAGGAGGTAGAAGCAGCAACATAAAAATTAAATCCATGTTATGTTGTCAAAACTACAGCCATTAAAAGTGTCAGTTTTTCAGGCTGGGTGCAGTGGCTCATGCCTGTAATCCCACAACCTGGGAGGCTGAGGCAGGTGGATCACCTGAGGTCAGGAGTTGGAGAGCAGCCTGGCCAACATGGTGAAACCGAAACCTCGTCTCTACTGAAAATACAAAAATTAGCCAGGCGTGGTGGCCAGTGCCTGTAATCCCAGCTATTCGGGAGGCTGAGGCAGGAGAATCACTGGAACCCGGGAGGTGGAGGTTGCAGTGAGCTGAGATCGCACCACTGCACTCCAGCCTGGGCAACAGAGTGAGACTCCATTTCAAAAAAAAAAAAAGTCATTTTTCTTATATCTAAAAGCACTTATTCTAAAGAGGAACAAAGTAGCCATGGGTTTGTCTGGGTGTTTTTGTTCTTACCTGGATCCTCTCTTTTGCAGATTACATCTCGTTTAGCAGATGTGTTCAACCAAAGGTGTGAGGTGAACCGAAGGGCATCTGTGAGTGGCTGTGTCATCAACACCTGTGGCTGGGTCAAGGGCTCTGGTTACCAGGCTCTGGTGCATGCAGCCTCAGCTTTTGAGGTGGATGTCGTTGTGGTTCTGGATCAAGAACGACTGTACAACGAACTGAAACGGGACCTCCCCCACTTCGTACGCACCGTGCTGCTCCCTAAATCTGGGGGTGTGGTGGAGCGCTCCAAGGACTTCCGGCGGGAATGTAGGGATGAGCGTATCCGTGAGTATTTTTATGGATTCCGAGGCTGTTTCTATCCCCATGCCTTCAATGTCAAATTTTCAGATGTGAAAATCTACAAAGTTGGGGCACCCACCATCCCAGACTCCTGTTTACCTTTGGGCATGTCTCAAGAGGATAATCAGCTCAAGCTAGTACCCGTCACTCCTGGGCGAGATATGGTGCACCACCTACTGAGTGTTAGCACTGCCGAGGGCACAGAGGAGAACCTGTCTGAGACGAGCGTAGCTGGCTTCATTGTGGTGACCAGTGTGGACCTGGAGCATCAGGTGTTTACTGTTCTGTCTCCAGCCCCCCGCCCACTGCCTAAGAACTTCCTTCTCATCATGGACATCCGGTTCATGGATCTGAAGTAGAGATCAGCAGGAAGCCTAGCTGCCTGGGACATAGAGATCTTCTGGCCACCCCTAGAGGCAGATGGGCTGAGATAAGAGACTCTGTTGGGGCCACCTGACCAGTAAACTGTGGACTAGTAGAAGTTCATATTCTACCTCTAAAAACAGGTAGTGGTAACCTGACTCTTCTAATCTGGAACCAAAAGGAAAACCATGAGACTCTAATTGGTTGCTTAGACTACCTAAGATGCCACTTTGAATTCTCTAAGACCCTGGAGAATTGCATTTCTTTCACTGTGCTAGTTTGTGGTTTTTAAAAATCAATGCTTTATATTCCGTATAGGGTTCTTACCCATTTATCTAGGATGAAAGTGTGAACTAGAGGGACTCTTTCCAATAAAGTTCAAACTTAAAAATCATTTTAATAAATATTTTTGCCATGTCATAGAAGTTGGTATAATTTATTTTTTTTTCCTCTAAGTGTTATAGAAACATCATGGGAATGATTTATTGCTAAAATGCTTAGAGGAGGGGAAAAGCAAGAAACCTACCTGTGAGTCAAGTGAGTTTGTTTTTTTTTTTTTTTTTTTTTTTTTGTGACAGAGTCTCGCACTGTCACCCGGGCTGGAGTGCAGTGGCGCGATCTCGGCTCACAACCTCTGCCTCTTGGGTTCTAGCAATTCTCCTGTCTCAGCCTCCCAAGTAGCTGGGGTTACAGGTGCCTGCTACCACGCCCAGCTAATTTTTTGTATATTTTTTAGTAGAGACAGGGTTTCACTATGTTGGCCAGGCTGGTCTTAAACTCCTGACCTCATGATCTGCCCACCTCGGCCTCCCAAAGTGCTGGGATTACAGGTGTGAGACTCTCTGCTTGCTCTGCTGCCCAGGCTGGAGTGCAGTGGCGCAATGTCGGCTCACTGCAAGCTTCACCTTCCGGGTTCACGCAATTCTCCTGCCTCAGCCTCCTGAGTAGCTGGGACCACAAGCGTCTGCCACTGTGCCCGGCTAATTTTTTTGTTTTGTTTTGTATTTTTAGTAGAGACGGGGTTTCACCATGTTAGCCAGGATGGTCTCGATCTCCTGACCTCGTGATCCGCCCACCTCGACCCCCCCAAAGTGCTGGGATTACAGGCGTGAGCCACCGCGCCTGGCCCTGGCTGTGAGTTCTTATGATAGTTCCCCTTTCCTTTGCGCTTAGGTAAATAGATGGTAAATCTGCTGTCAGTGCTGGATTTACTGTGGGGAGTTAGAGGCTGGTGATAACCTTGGAATGAGATTTCATCATATCTAATCATTTTCCAGAGATAGCTCATTTTCCTTCTAGTACAGCTATCCTTCTTGTCTATTTGATTGGAACTAGGCCCTAAGTCAAAGTATAACTTGAGCTTTCAGGTGGTAAGAAGCTGGGAAAGCCCATTCTTTTCGATCTCTTGCAAATGATTGTTTGGTGTCCCTGGTTTGGACTTGGATTACTTAAGTATCTGATGCCATTCATCCATTTCTTCTTTCCATAAATGTTTACTGAGGACCTACTGTTTGTCAGGAGCCATTCTAGATGGGGAACAAGATAGACAAAAGTTTTATGGAGCTTACATTATAGAATAAACACATTTAAAAAGGCAAGTGCTATGCAGAGACTTAAATTTGGGGGATATGAGACAGAGTGACTAGAGGCTACTTTCGACTGGGTAGTCAGGAAAGGCCCTTCCTGAGCATACATTTTGGACTAAGACTCGAATGGCTGTGTGAAGTCTGGGGCAAAACCTTCCTGGTGAAAAAAAAACTGCAAAACCCTAATAAAGGAACAAGCTTGGTGAGCTTGGTGAAGAGAAAAACCAGTGTGGTTGAAGCGTGGAACCAAGAGAGACTGTACAAGATGAGGCTGGAGGGGGCAGCAAAGACCAGATAATGTAGGGCTTTTGTAAACCGGGGTGAAGAAAGGATTTTTTGGCCCAGGTGCTCTGGGTGGTGGCCACGCCTTTAACCCCAGCCACTCGGGAGGCTGAGAATTCCTTGAATCCGAGAGGTGGAGGTTGCAGTAAGCTGAGATTGCATCATTGCATTCCAGCCTGGGTGACAGAACGACACTCTGTCTCAAAAAGAACAGGGATTTTTTTTTTTTTTTTCTTTTTAGGAGATAGGGATCTCAGCCAGGCGTGGGGGCTCATGCCTGCAATCCCAGCACTTTGGGAGGCTGAGGTGGGTAGATCACTTGAGGTCAGGAGTTCGAGACCAGCCTGACCAACATGGTGGAACCCTGTCTCTACTAAAAATACAAAAAAAAAAAAAGCAAAAAATTAGCCTAGCGTGGTGACATATGCCTGTAATCCGAGCTACTTGGGAGGCTAAGGCAGGAGAATCGCTTGAACCTGGAAGGCGGAGGTTGCTGTGAGCCAAGATCACGCCACGGCACTCCAGCCTAGGCAGCAAGAGCGAAACTCCATCTCCAAAAGAAAAAAAAAAAGAGAGAGATGGGGGGTCTCACTATGTTGCCCAAGCTGGCTTTGAACTTCTGGGCTTAAGTGATCCGCCCATCTTAATCTCCTGAGTAGCTGGCACTACAGGCTCATGCCACAGTGCCTAGTTTAAGAATGGATTTTACTGTTAAGAGCAATGGGAACCAGTGGGGAGGGGTAGTTAAGTAGAGTAATTATTTGATCTCTTTTTTTTTTTTGGAGGGGGGAGACGGAGTTTCACTCTTGTTGCCCAGGCTGGAGTGCAGTGGTGCAATCTGGCTCAGCGCAACCTCCGCCTCCCAGGTTCAAGTGAATCTCCTGCCTCAGCCTCCCGAGTAACTGGGATTACAGGCATACGCTACCATGCCCAGCTAATTTTGCATTTTCAGTAGAGATGGGGTTTCTCCGTGTTGGTCAGGCTTGTCTCGAACTCCCGACCTCGGGTGACCCACCCGCCTTGGCCTCCCAAAGTGCTGGGATTACAGGCATGAGTCAGCGCGCCTGGCTGATCTCCTCCTTCCCATGCCTCTTTCTTTCCTTCCTTCCTTCTCGCTCTCTTTCTTTTTCTTTCCTTTCCTTTCTCCCTCCTTCCTGCTTTTTCTTTCTCTTTTTCTTCTCTTTCCTTCTTTTTTCTTTCTTATCATTCCTTCCCCTTCCTTCCTATTCCTTCCTTTCCTTCCCTCCCTTCCCCTCCTCTCTCCTCCCCTTCCCTCCCCCACCTTCCTTCTCTCCTTCTAAGTTTTGCTATGTCACCCAGGCTGGAGTGCAATGGCATGACCTCGGTGCACTGCAACCTCTGCCTCCCGAGTTCAAGTTATCCTCCTGCCTCAGCCTCCTGAGTAGCTGAGTAGCATGTGCCACCACGCTTGGCGAATTTTTGTATTTTTAATAGAGATGGGGTTTTGCCATGTTGGCCAGGCTGGTCTCGACCTCCTGACCTCAAGTGATCCATCCACCTCGGCCTCCCAAAGTGCTGGGATTAGCCTGGCTGATTACTTTAAATTTTGAAAAGATCACTGCTTTGCAGAGAGTGGGTTATAGGGCAAGTGTAGAAGCAAGGACAGGAATTAGGAGAGTTTTGTAAGAGTGTAAATGTGAGAACTGGTGGGGGATGAAATACTAGGGCAGTACAGGTAGAGCTGGTGAGAGGATATTCTGAAGGCAGGACTTCCTAATGGAGTGGTGAGGAAAACGATGGAATCAAGGATGCATCCTAGATTTTTTTTAACAAGAGACACTAGGTTAGACATGAGATTGGGGAAACTCAGGGAGTTGTCCCCTGAGGGACAAGGGAAACTTAGGGAGGGGGGAAGAAAATGTCAAGTTTTTTGGCAGTGTTAAATTTGAGCTATTAATTGTCCATGGGACGCGGAGGTTGCAGTGAGCTGAGATCATGCCACTGCACTCCAGCCTGGGTGACAGAGCGAGACCCCATCCCCCGCCTCCCCCACCAAAAAAAATGCAGGAGTGAAGGAGGTAGGATCCACAGCACAAAGGTAAGAACTACTCTTTAACACATAGACATTTCACAACGACAGGAAGAAAGATAGCAGTATTTAAACACAAAGAAGTTGACCAGGAGCACTGACTCACACTTGTAATCCCAGCACTTTGGGAGGTTGAGGTAGGCAGATCACTTGAGCTCAGCAGCTGGAGACTACCCTGGCCAACATGGTGAAACCCCATCTTTACTAAAAACACAAAAATTGGGAAATGCGTGTTCTAGCTTTCTGTGTGCTTAGGTGCCCAAGCTACTGAGGGTCTAAGTCTGGGCAGCCAGAGTGTGGTTAGCAAGATGAACAAAGATGCACAGATGAGACAAGCGATTAACCAAAAGTTGATAGAAACTGGAGAAAGAGAACGCTTCAAAGAGTTGCTGAGAGCTAAATTAATTGAATGAGGCTGGAAGGATCAGTTGAAGGCACACTGTAAAGAGGTCATTAAAGAACAAGGACTAGAACACGTTACTGTTGATGACTTGGTGGCTGAAATCACTCCAAAAGGCAGAACCCTGGTACCTGACAGTGTAAAGAAGGAGCTAGAAAGAATAAGAACATTCCTTGCTCAGCATGCCAGCCATTAAGATTGAATTAGATTGTGTTGTTCTGTGGTTTTATTTCTGAAAGTAAAACTTGCCATAAATTAGAAAAGTTTCTCCAAATAAAATCTTTTTTTGTATGATGGTATAGTTTTCACTGATGATGTAGACATTGTATTGATTTTTTCCCCTAAATGTATTATTTTAATAAATAGTTCATGAATTAAAAAAAAATAAATAAAAATTAGCTGGGTGGGGTGGCATGTGCCTGTAGTCCCAGCTACTCTGGAGGCTGAGGCATGAGAATCACTTGAGCCTGGGAGATGGAGGTTGCAGTGATCCTAGATCACACCACTGTACTCCAGCCTGGGTGACAGGAGTGAAACCCTGTCTTAACAAAAACAAACAAACAAACATACATAAAGAGGTTGTTGGTTTGTTTGGTGCTAAAAGGCAGGACATTCCTCTCTGATTGCTTCTAAACCCCAGGGCAGCATTTTGTCCTTATTTGCATGTTTATTTACTAGTGAGTTGAACTAAAAATGACCCAGTGGTTTGCCATCTATAGGCATGAGAAAATGCAACTGAAGACAATTTGGAAAAGTGTAGATAAGCTACGCTAGAAAAACTGTAAAGGGCCGGGTGCAGTGGCTTATGCCTGTAATCTCAGCACTTTGGGAGGCTGAGGTAGGAGGATCACTTGAGTCTAGGAGTTCGAGACCAGCCTGGGCAATATTTAGTGAGACCTCATCTATACAAAAATCTTAAAAAATTAGCCAAGCCTGGTGGCACAGCTACTCAGGAAGCTGAGGTGGGAGGATTGCTTGAGAATGGAAGGGGGAGGTTGTAGTCAGCTGAGAGAGCTCCACTGCACTCCAGCTGGGTGACAGAGCCAGACCCTGTCTCAGAAAAACAAAAACCTATAAGGTATTAATCGATAAACATATTAAAGT